GTGCCTCCATAGGGATCCTACTAGTGCTAGGACTTGGCTGCTTTTCCTTCTCTGGGGCTGGGAAGACAAGGCTGGGATCTAGCAGGGCAAGATTAGGACCTGGTAGAGCCTCCCTTTCCTCCTGCACTCACACATCCTCCTCCTCATCCTCCAAGTCCAGCTCCTGACTGACCATGACACTACCCCACACCTCGGCCCCAATCCTCCCTTCTGCTGGCCCTGAAAGGAGAGCTAAAATGCCGCTCCTTTCGGAGCCGGCATGAGGGACGCATCAAGAGCTTCCACACAGCTCTTCTGCATCTCTTCTGGTGCAAAGCATCAAGACGCTGACCAGAAGGATGTCTTGATGGCACATGCCATGCGTAATGGCGTGTGCCATCATGACATCCTCGGGGAGGGGTTGGGGCACCCGGTATATGGCTGCCCCTCCCCTTTCCTGCCTCCAAGATGTTGCAAAGCGCCATCTGTAGAGCCCCTACGTGCTCTTGTCCCTTCTCTCTGCCCACTCACTCTATGGTTTTGAGAAGTATGTTTGTATTTATTTGTTGCTCTTTATTATTTAATAAGATTTTGGAAATGTATCCTTCATTTGCTAGCTAGCATTCATTATTCCACACACCCCAACAATGTTTTCAGCCATATCTCATCCCAATATAATGGGTCCAATATCTAGAGAATACAGTGTGTCCATTATTCTCCTATCAGAGGCTCAGCAGGAGTCTCTCTCTATTTTTTCCCCTGTATATTTAGAATGCTTTTGTTTATTGTATAGATGTGCTTTGTGAATTTTAATTGTTTTTTAATTTGTTTTGTTTGATTTGCTTTTGGGGGGTGGGAATGAGGGATGGGATTGAATTTGATTTTATTTGTTTTGATGTTTATATGTTGTACACCGCCCCGATTGCTTGGCAGAGGGGTGGGATATAAATAAAAATTATTATTATTATTATTATTATTATTATTATTATTATTATTAATTTATTTATTTATTTATGTGGACTCCTTTTCAATCAGGTTTTCTTCCCATGATCCCTTACTTCCTGGTGCATTTTATGTAGACTGTTTCCCTGTGTCTCTCATGACCTCAATCACAGAAGCTCTCTTTTTGTGTAGAATTATTTTAATCTCAACTATCATTGTTGATTTTACAAACCCTTTACCACTTCAGTTATCTCAGTATTATAATAACTCTGCCTTCTGAACAAATTATCTTTGGTGCCTAGTATTTTTCAAGTGAAGGTACACTTCTATTTCCATTTTACTCCTCTATTCACCTTTGCAGTTTTTTCTTCCCATGGTAGATATTCTGTCATTTTAATGTGATATCATTAAGCTGCCTTCAGGCTGGTGTGAAGATTCAAAAATATTTATTTCCACTCTTGCAACCTTTCTAACTACTCCTGGGTACTTCACTTTTATGATGCTTTCTCTATAAAAAATAAACAAGCCTTAGAGTACAACGTCACTAGATAGAAAAGCAAAGCAAAGCAGCTTCATTTATATACCGCTTCATATGGGATGTCTAAGCGATTTACAGCTGTAAGCTCATTGGCCCCCAACAGTTGGATACTCATTTTAGCAACCTCAAAAGGATGCAGGCCTTAGCCTAGCCTGAGCCCTGACTAGTATTGAACTCTCAACCTTGTGGTCTATGAGTGTATGGCTGCAGTACAGGCATTGAACCACTGCGCCACTAGGCACTAATGTTGTTCAAAATTATCATTTTTCTTTTTTTAACTACTACTTTTTTTTTAAGACATTTTATTTTATTATTTTATTTTTACTGGGTACAGGGCACACGAACTTGTCCCATCTCTTTTATAAAACAAACATATAGCTGTCATATTCCAAAAATCCACTTGCACTCCAGGATTCACAAACACATATGGATTCTTGTATACACGGCTTACCATTTTAATCCAGAGAGGGTGGATATGTTTATGTGAAAAATGTATGCATATAATTTGCTGTCTCAATAGAAAGGAAACGGGGAGGGGGGAGAGTGTTTCCATCTCCCAAAAGTGGTTGAAGTTTGTATTGTTATCTCTGCAGTCATGCTCATTTGAAATCCCCACATTATGCCTACAGTTGATACTGGGAAGATAAATAGATTCTGGATTCATATAGACAGTTGGGAGGCATATAGGCAGAAACCTGTAGTATTGTATATTCCTCATAGAGGACCTTTGTGTATAGTATTACAGATTACTTGGTGAACAATATACTCTCTCTAACCTCAAGGCTCTGTCATTTTAATCACTCAGAATACTAACCTTCTTCACTCCAGAAAATTTCATAAAACAAAGCACTATTTTTATGGCAACTGGGGAGAGGTTTCCACATGATATGCACTGAATATTTCCTTTTTTGAAGATCTTGGGGCTCTCTTGCACATATGGGACTCAGCACCTGTAGCAGTTTTCAAAGCGATAACTGTGTTTCAGCATAAAAAGAATGAAAAAAGGAAGTGGGAGAAGAATGTAGCAGCACCTTTGAGTCTTATTTATATAATAATCTATAACTCACCATTCTCCCCATGCAAGATCCAAGGTGGCCTATGACATTTAAAAAATAAAGAACCATTTAAACATTATTTACACAAGTTTAATTAAAAATCAAATAGCAGTTTAATTAAAAGCAGAGGTTTAAAACAATATAAAAACACTGATCATAGTAAAAAAGATTTTAAAAATACAACCATACAAACCCTTTGTTTCATAGATTTTAAACCAAAGGCCTACCTTTGCCTGCCAGTGAAAAGAAAGGAGAAAAGGTGGTATACATAAAAAATGTGAATTTGTAGCTTTGGTGTAATTAAGCCAATGTCCACACAGGGGAAAAGAGAATTTGTAGTTTTATTTGCTGCAGCGAATAGGTATCAGCAATCTCACAACCCAAAAGACTGACAGAAAGAAAAGAAACAGCCATTCATGTATGTATACTTTTTCATATGATAATCACACAGCATCCTATCTCTCCGTAACTACAGTGTCACTAATTAGCAGGTGCCTTTTCTAGAACATGTGTACTCAACAGGTCATGTATTTCTATCCCATAATGATCCTGCACTGCCTAGCAACTCAGAAATTGAGGAGGGTACCTTTTGGCAAAGAGGTGTGTTTTAGAGCTTGTGACCTCAGTGAGGCACCCAGAGTTCAGGAACTCTGTATGAACTTGACATGCCTCAAGGCTGACATAGCTTGGCATAGTTAGGCACTGCTTTATCAGCTATGCTTTATTAAGCTTCATAGTTTTGTTTCTGTCATCCCTCTTGCCACACTCCATTCTCTGCTTCTTTGTCAAGTTGACATTACCAGGGTTGCTGGCTATCTTGAAGAACTATAGCAAACGGCAGGCATAGACAAGCATTCTTTTTCTATTTTATTCTATTGTTGTGATAGTTTCATGCTGGTTCCTATTATTAGTTTCTCATACTGGTTTACCATTTTCTCCCATTATGCTTTATCAAAGGGGCCAACCTATTTCCCAAAAGAGAGAATTCCACAATCTGGGAACAGCCACTGAGTAGGCATTCTCTTAGGCCATCACCAAATGCACCTATCTTGTTGTTGAGACCAAGAGCAAATCTCCCCTCAAATATCTTAAAACTCAGGCATCCTCAAACAAGCAGATACAGATTTTAAGATAGTGTGTACCCAAGCCATATAGGGCTTAAAAGGTTATAACCAGCCCTTTGACTTCTACCTAGAAATGAATAGGTAGCCAGTGAAGCTGTTTCAACAAGCGAGTTATATGATCCCTGTAATCAGCTCCAATCAACAGCCATCCTGCAGCATTTTGGACCTCCTGAAGTTTCCAAACAGTTTCCAAAGGAAGCCTCACATAGAGCACAGTACAGTAACCTGATCAGAATGATCTATTTTCACATGAGTTTTCATGGATATTAATAGCTGACAAGGTTTAGGAAAACTCATGCTAAAATAAATCAGCCTCAGTATGTCTTTGCTACTGAAAGTTTTCTACTTTTCCTATATGATTTTTAAAAAGTGTATACGATTTTATTGAAGCCTTTATTGTCAG